GTGTGTGTGTGTGTGTGTGTGTGTGTGTGTGTGTGTGTGTCCATGAATCTGTGTTTAATGTGTTGAGTGTGCTCTTCTGTTACTGTTTCTGTTCAGTTCCGTTCAGTGGATGAAACGACTCAGGCCATGGCCTTTGATGGCATCATCTTTCAAGGCCAGAGTCTGAAAATTCGTCGTCCACATGATTACCAGCCCCTGCCTGGCATGAGCGAGAACCCCAGTGTCTATGTGCCTGGTACACAGACAATTAATGGTTTTTATCCTTGAATACTTGTATCAAAATTTATAAATAATTGTACAGTCAATATCCATATGGGTCTTTCTTTTTATGTTTTACACTCCTCATCTTTGCACATTTTGTAGGCGTTGTGTCCACAGTGGTGCCAGACTCTGCTCACAAACTCTTCATTGGTGGTTTGCCCAACTACCTGAATGATGATCAGGTCAGTGTTTTATTCTCTAAACTCATCTACAGCCCGTGTACCACTAAAATACACTATTTGTTACTTGTATTGAAATACTGAAGATGGAAAAATCAGTCCTCAGCATCAGTTTAAGCCGTGTTTTTCCCATGACAGTAGTTGCTGAATTCTCCATAACCTTTGTGTTTCAGGTGAAGGAGCTCTTGACATCATTTGGCCCTCTGAAGGCCTTCAACCTGGTGAAAGACAGTGCTACAGGCCTCTCTAAAGGATATGCTTTTTGTGAATATGTTGATGTCAACCTGAACGATCAGGTAACAAAGAGGAAAAATGTGTGCATGCCGTACAAGTTTTCTGGAAGCAGGTAATTCAGTTTTGATGTCTTCGCAGGCTATTGCTGGACTGAATGGCATGCAGCTTGGAGACAAGAAGCTCCTGGTGCAGAGAGCCAGTGTGGGATCCAAGAACGCCACTCTGGTGAGTTTCCAGCAGCTGGACGGCTGACAGTGGGATGGTGGGAGGCTCGAAATTGGTTCCAAAATGGACTGAAACAGATTGCTGAAAAGATCTGCAGCTCCTCATATGTTCACACTTTTAATAATCACAAAGGCACATCTTCTCTCCAAAGAAATGTTTTCATTTTGGTTATAAAAACGGTTGAGCAAACATAATGGAACTGCTGTTTTGCTTAAAGAAAACTAAATAAAACTGTCCTTTTTGTAATTTTGTGTCTCTTTTCCCAGACGACTATAAACCAGACCCCGGTGACGCTGCAGGTTCCAGGTCTGAACAGCTCTGTCACTCAGATGGGCGGCCTGCCCACTGAGGTTCTGTGTCTGATGAACATGGTGGCCCCCGAAGAGCTTTTGGACGATGAAGAGTATGAGGAGATCGTGGAAGATGTCAGGGAGGAGTGCGGCAAGTATGGCCAAGTGAAGAGCATCGAGATCCCTCGTCCTGTGGACGGCCTGGAAATCCCCGGGACTGGCAAGGTCAGTGACATCACAAGTGAAATTGATCTCGCCGTAAGCTTCATAATAGCCTCTGCTCTGGTCTGCGGGTTTTACTGACTGGGTTTTTATACAACTTTTTCAGATTTTTGTGGAGTTCACTTCAGTCTTCGACGCCCAGAAGGCCATGCAGGGGCTGACGGGAAGAAAGTTTGCCAACAGGGTGGTGGTAACGAAATACTGCGATCCAGATGCTTATCACCGCCGGGACTTCTGGTAGAGGGGCCACGTGGGGTGGGGGGGGTGGGGGGGAGTGTAAGTGTACTACCCATTTTCAGATCAGCCCTTGGAGTGATTTGACTGAGCAACATTTCAAGTAGATCTTGGACTGTTAATTGATAAAAATGGCTTTGGTGATATCCAGTTTATAATTTGAGATCTATGTGACATGTTTAGCAGTTCAAACCAGTAGTTGTGATTGGAGAAAGGACAAGGTGTTTATATTAAATGCGTTACTTTGAGCTAGGCTTGGATTCTAGATGAGTAGCCAGTTGGGCCGGGCCGGTTTTTGAGTAACGTGTAACAAGACAAGGGCGAAGGAGGGGGGATTTTTTTTTTTATTTTATACGTTGTGAGACAGGGATGTTTCTTTTTCGTTTGGGAGGAGGGAGCCACACTTCAAAGGTTTATATTTAAATGGAGTCAGCCTGTTTTAAGTAAATGAGAAAGAAACTGCAGTATGGAGCTATTTCTTATTGAGAAGTGTTTGGGGGGAAACAGGAGTTTGTGAAAGGAGATGATGTGGAAGATGAAGGGCAGTTTTGTTTAAACATGTAGATACACAGTAGCTGTAACACCCATCTCACTAGAGAGACAAGAGGAGTTGGTTTTATTTTATTCCTTCATTTTTATCAAACAGCTGCCCCCTCCAGCATGATTGTCATCTGATTGGACTCAGTCTGAGTGTCAGCTGTAAATGTTTTGATACTGTGTGTAGCTTCACTGGTTCTGAGCTGTAAAAACCACCCTGTGTTTAAAGCTACAAAATAACACAAACTGCTGAAGCAACACTTTCAATGATTCCTTTCTCTTCCTGCACATTTTTTTCTTGTCTTTTGCAAACAGCTCTTAAAAGGTGATAAATCTTTTCAGCACTTTGGCCCTGATTCAGTCCAAGATGAGAAAAGAAAGATTAGGACAAAAACACATCTTATTCTTACCAACAAGCCTTAAAGTGAAACAGGTCAGTTTGATTTGGAAAGAAAATCTGGCTCGCCCCTCTTTCAGCCATGTTTGAATCTTCATACGTGTCACTGTCTTGTACTTTTTCTCTTATTTTCAGCTTCATTTTGGTTGTAAAGTGTTTGATCCAATTCTTTTTGTGCAACATCTCACCTTTTTGACAAGACCAAATAAAACCTGATTATTAACGCACGACTTCTGTTGTCCTGCAAACTGAAACCAAATTTACCCAACTTTGTTCTTTTGCTCATTCTGCAGTCAGATTTGTTTTTCAAAACAATAATTGCTATTAGTTGGTTTCTCCACTAATGGATTTAAAAGTGAATTAACAACAACAATAATAATCTTTTCTATTTATTTGGTCCATTTAGAGATAATTAATCCAGTTTGAGTAGAATATTTGGTGTTACTGCTCCTCTTTCTGTAACTCTGAGGGCTTTCAGTCAGGAAGTTACAACTGCCCTTTGTGCTAAAACAAAATATGCATTTCATCTCCCTGATCATCTAAACTTTATTCCTTAAGGACCACAGGATCGCACTGTATGGGCTTGAGATTATGCTTTCATTCAATCCCCACGGTTGCTTAAGAAGGCGCTGCAGAGTCAGAAATGACACTTTTGAAATGTTACTCCTTTCTTTCTGAAAATCTTGTATTTTAGTGTCTGTGTCATTTAATTTTAATTTTTTTTTTCTGTTTTTGGTCTGGAAAAATGTGATTTCTTAAATGATTTAAACCTAAAAGCCACATCTAGTTTGTACAAGCAGTCTTTTTGTTTGTCCAATTTGTTTCCAAATGTTGATTAAAAACTGAATTTACACGACTGCTTTGCTCCTTGTGGTTCCTCACCCTCACATCTGGTAGCCTCTGAGGCAAACACCACCATTGCTTCTTTTATGAAACAATATTTCTTAGTAATGGCCAAATTTAAGTAATAGTGGCTGGTAAATATTCAAATATTGTTTTTAAGTTTCCTTGTTAAAATGACATCAAAAATTCCTCATTAGAATGACCAGAAGATAAGATTCAGACCAGCTATCAGTGAGTTCTAATCAGGAAGACAAATCAAGGCATATCACTGAACCATTCAAAATGTAACTTAAAAACAGGAATCTGACAAACGTGCTTTTGTGACCAAATTTGACTTAATCCTCAGGCTGATGTAATAGGTCACACATGGTCACTCATGTTCAATATATTTTATTTAGTTGGAGGAAAACAAACCAGATCAAACATTTTAACACAATAGTTAGGATTCTCATCATTTCTACTATTCAGTGCCATTTGACCATATTCAAAA